AACGAGATCCACGACCGGCACGAGCTGAAGATGATGTCCATTGCAACAGTGGAGCGGGAGCGCAAGAAGGCGAAGAAGCAGCTGCAGCAGCGCTCGAAGGAAGAGAACGCGTGAGGTCGGTAGTGGGTGAATCGATGTATGCGTTTGGGTGTCTGTGTGTCACTCAGAGGAGTGCAGGCACACAGTACTCGCAGCACACTCACACACATTTTTCTATCTATCTAGATATATATATATATATATATCTTTATATATACGCACTGCATTGCATTTGTGTCATGTTATGCCTACCTGCATCTCTTTTATTTTATGATGCCCTCCGTTTGCACCACTGCGGAATGCGGGAGGGGGGGCGTACGTATGTACAAAGGTAAACAAAAGCTGCGACAACAGAGGCAGCCCGCGCAGGAGANGGCGGAAGGGAGAGGGAGAGGGAGAGCTTAACACTCGCACGGGTGGAGAGTGGTGGTGAATGCAGCGAGCAGAAAAGCAACAGAGGGAGAACGTGGGAGAAGCAACGATGAGTATTCGCAGTTGTTGTTGTTGTTGTTTTTTCGTGTCAACTCCGGCACAATGCGCACAAAGAAGGAAGTAAAAAGGAGACAGCGAGAGAGAAACAAAAAAAATTGTGGCAACCGCCGTGTGTGCTCACATTATTAGTTTCTCCTGTGTTTTCCTTGTGTATTTTGGTGCCCTCTTTCAGCTTCGTTGCATCCTGTGTGTCCGCTCGCACCATGCTGGCTCCTTTTCATCCTCTTGCTGCTGGTTGTCCCAGCGAATGTACGACATATCCAAACCTTCGATGTCTACCGAAATATTGGCGATCAACAACCAAAAAAAAAAAGATGAAGGCCATGATGCAATGTCGATTGTAGTGGCCGCTGTGGTTGCCTATTGGGGCCTCTGGTGTCGATCTCGTACTCTCCCCCTCTCGTCTCTCTCTCTCTCTCTCTCGCTCGCTCGCCGGCATAGTCTGCTGCAGTTTGAGTAATATATATATATA